ACTGTTGATTTTGCACAAAAACCAATTTGTGCATGATCACTTTGTATGAAAAATCCAGCCAACTTTTATATAAGAATTGACAAAGCTTTATCTTTATCTGCAAGTTGCAAGTTATGCATTTAAGCCGTGATTTCTTTTTTCCTTTATTTCCTCTTGTTGATTTTGATAGTAGAAATTTTCATTATATAGATTGATAACAAAATTCAAAATTTCAATCTTCGGTAGAAATATTAGGAACGTACAAGCAGTTGGTGCATGTTGTATATAATTCTTTTTTATCTAAATAGGTGATTAATGTTTCATCGTAATTTTCATCATACTTGCACTATGTCCAAGGTTGCAGTTTCATCTAATGAAGTTTGATACTTTGATCCTACATATGCTATTGAACAATGTGTGGAATATATTAAGAAAATTATTTATAGGCATAGTCATTAAATTATGTTCCTAATACAAGCTTTGGCGGACTTGTCATAACAACTAAGAGTGCACCCTGCTTTAGTGAATTCAGGTTTTTACCATTCATAGATCTCCGACCACCATTGTCATGATAAGGTAAGATGCTTAGTTGAGTAGCATATTATGAACATAATAAGCAATCTCCAAATTGAATGAAAATCTCAAAGTATTGAATTTGAAGGTAAGCTGATAATTTTTTTATTGGCTTTTCATTGGATTTTGCATGGTTACTTTTAGAAAACATGATGCTATGCTGTTCTAAGCAATAATATTATTTGGTATATAAATAGGAAGAGAGCTATACACACAGGTTAATGCGCTCGATACCAAGCTTGAATGTCATTTCTTTGTTTTAAATTCCTAACTGCTTAGATTTATGGTTGGCTTTACAAATATGAGCATTCATTCATCTTAATTACTAAATTTTATTTTAATTATCATTCTACTGATTCCTCCTTTTTTATCCCACATGCACAAATATTCATCAAACAAAGTGACAACAACACTTGCCAACTCGGATTTCAAATAGCAGTCTTGATGAGTGATTGGAATTTATTTTATGAACTCCTTCTAAAATGATACATTTAATTTGACAAAAGCCATGGTAGAGGGATGATGAACTAAAGTACTTAAAAATCCTAAAAAAATTTCTTTCCTTTCACATTTCTCAGCTTATTCTATTTGCATGTTATAAAACCATTATCTGTCATAACAATTAGGTTGTTGAATCTGTGTGTGTGTGTGTGAGCTAAGATCTCTTCCTCTTACTTAGTGCTCTTTTATTTGGCTTCACGACTTGTTGACCACTTTATTGAATTTTTTTACTTATTAATTTTATTTTCATTTTTTTCTCCTTTTGGCATATACAAGTGAGATATCTTAACTTTAGGTCTCATAATTTTTTATATGGTAACTACTAGACTTACAAGTTTGGCAAAGCCGCAATTATATTTTCTCAAGATTATTCTGACTTCATCAGGAACCGAATCCTAATGCCCTATATAAACAAAACATTTTATGCTTTATATGGTGCTAGCAGCAAAGGAATACATTGACTTAATGTTGAAGCTAGGAACAAATCATACCAAGGGTTCTCTAGAATTTGCATATTTCATTGTATTGGAAGGTTGCTCTTGTCTCTAATGAAAGTTCTTCATGTTGGCCTAAGGGACAGTAAATATGAGCCCTACCCTCTACTTTTGTATAATGTTGATGGTGGTTCCATAAGTAGAAAACAAGGCATTAGGGTATATAATTATTGCCAATTATCCGAAGGTATAAAACAGTTATCTTGATTTTGAAATGTTGCTAGTAGCAGGAGAATAACGAGGTTCCCAATACAAAGCCTTTATACAATCCATAAGTAAATCATTGTGTTGTAAGAAAATGTATTTCAAGAACAGGCAAGTTGCTCCACCAGAAGAGGAATACTAGCAAAAAATATATTAGAGAGGGATAGAAGCCCTCAATTGAAATGTTCAATGACGGTTGTCCTATGCTTTCTTTAGCTTACTTTTCATTGCAGAATTTCAACTCTTCTTCTTGGTTCTTCCATTTTTAAAATTAGATGTGTGTGCTTGGACATCATTCTTTAACTTAAAGAGAGTTATATGCCATGTTAACGATTAGAAAAAAAAAAAGCAAATATTTTGTTGATTTTAGTTGGTCTTGAATTTTCTCTCTATGAACATAAGAATATTTGTGATATTTGGCATAACTATGCACAATAGAGGCAAAAACCTGAAAATAATCCACGTGTAACGCACGTGTGCACCAACTAATATAATTAAATGTCATTCAACTAATTTTATTCAAATAAACAAGTGGCAAGTTATAATTTAATTTTATCCAAATAGAAAAGTGGCGAGTTATGATTGAATTTAGGAGATTTCCAACCTATGAAAAAATGATAAGTGGCACACTTTAGGGCCAAGTATAAAAAAGGGTCGAAATTCTCTGGCTAAAGCGTGAGAGAGAGAGAGAGAGAGAATCCCCAAAAGATTCATCTTCTTCTTTCTTCTTTCTCAAATATTTCAAGATTCGACCGTTAAAATTCGATCAATCAAGAACAAAATTTGTTCTACTCGACGAGACCTATACGCCAACAGCAACAACGACTATTTTTCACAACTTTCAAAAATCAAGGATTTGGGGCTAAAGCTTGGAGAAGGCTTGTTTGGGGTATTCTTGAGGATTTTTCTTCCTTACCACGCTTCAAGGGGTGGGGGTTCCTTTCTATTTAGATTTGCTTTCAACTTAGGGTTGCATATGAGATGAGTTTGAATAAATATATGTTAATCACGTGATTGGCTTATAACTAGTATAGCTAGTGAGTTAATTGGTACCGATGAGCATGTTGTCTAATTCCTACTTGAATTGGGCTGTTGAACATGTTTCATATGTGGATATTGATGGGTATGCTAAATATTTGCAATTATGCACCCTATGTGTTTGATAAAATGCCTAAATGTATTCAAGCATGTTATTTGAGTTAATAAATGTATATATAACATGTGTTAGATGATATAATAGAATACTATTATAAGCTTTAATGCTATAAGTGACATTGTGTTTTCAATTGAAATGCAATCGATCATACATTGCACGTGCACGGGTTAACACTACATTCTTGGAATATGGCATGATTGTGATTATTGTGCATAGGTTTAACCAATCACCACATGAGTGAGTTGATGGGTGGCACTCGGGAAGATTGGACCAAGGTCCAATTAAGTCTCATGGGATATTGCAGGAAAATGTGTCGGGGGTATAGCAAGAAGGGATAGATCCTCCGTCGGGTGGAAAGTCCAGTCTTGTCGGTCACACACTAGCCAGTGGTGTAATAAGCCCATAAAAATGTGTCGGTGTACGTAGAACCGAGAATGAGATGTCCTCAAAATGTCGTGTCAGTTTGGTAACCCGTTGATAGAAGTTCAAGAATTACCTACTTCAAAAAGACAAGATAATAAATGAAAGGCCATTGAGTGTATATAGCTCAATGAAGGGGGCTTGGAATTGCCCAATTCATGACATGATATTACATTAGGTGTTGTGCATAGGAACCCAGGAGCGGGTTCGAAGTCGGACGTGTATTCATGAAACATCATTCATGGTTTGGCATGTTTAGTGACACTTTTTTATGTGATTGTTGAGTTATATGTAAATCATACCATATGCATTTGAGTTAAGAGGTATTCTTTATATGAGATATCCTACTAGACTTAGGTTTACCCCGTTGTGGGAATGTTTTTCGAGTACTATGCACACTTCTGCAGATGGCCCTCACATGGGTCCACTTTGATGACAAACCCAAAGCTCGGGCTCTTTTCTTGAATGTGAAGATGTTAGGTCCCAATTGTAAAGACTTATATACTTAATTTGAACTCTTCTTTTGTTTTAATGAATGGTTTACATTTGAACTTGTTAATGTTATCTAATGCATGGATTGGATTAGAGGCATATGTTAGACCTTGTAAAGTCAATAGGAATTATTATTGACTTAAGTTGTGTTTCCACCAAAATTCTGTTGGGATTGTCATCCGGGATCAATACCTTTGGTTAATTAACAAGGCTTAACGAGTAATTAGGACCATCGAAAATTGGGGCATCACAATTAATTCATCAAGATCTCTCCATTTTTCTTCTCCCCAACTCTTTTTAGCTTTTTAGGATTGAAACAATGGTTAAATAGCCTAAAACTCATCTTTAGGGTATTTACAGGGTAAAAATTGAAGAAAAAACTAAAAATTGATTGACGAACTTCAAAAGCGCATCCCAACTATAAACTCGCTTCCAGACAGTCCAAACTCACTGTCCAAATCTTCTTAGGCGCTTTTGAATGCAATTCTTGCTTCTTGACGCAAGTGGCTCTCTGATCCAGAATTCAAACTCAATTTTGATCTAGTTAGATGTTGATACACAATTTTGTAAGAAATACACTATTTTTGCTCTTGAATTCTAATTTCTACTGTCCAAAAATCATAGAAATCGACATCAAGGAAAAATGTTATGTTTAAAATACTAAAGTAGTGTTAAATTCGTTTCTACCCAAAATCTCTTCAAAATGCGGTTTAACTCTGCAATACTTCTAAACATCCAATATACACCATATCACATCTTCCAAAGTTTCTCAATCTTCCAAATTCAATAGTAGCTTTATTTTGGCATAAAATCATTCAAAAACTCACCTAGTCACGATTCTCAAGGTTAAACACTTCTAAAACTCAATTTAACAGAAAAGTCAATATGCCTGAAACTCAAACTTAATGATCAATCATTTAACAATGATTCAAAATTTTTACCATTATTTTATTTATTTAAGGTGAATTCTTAAGATAATATTAACCTTATTTAATTCTAATACGGGGTCTTACACATCCCTAATCGTAATTTGTAGTATAAAATAATTTTGATTTCGCATAGCAATCTTAGATCCAAAATTGCATAAAAAATTCAGTCTGCTGTCTACCTTTTGCATCAAATACTTTTCAACTATTTTGTGACATAGCAAATGATATCAATTAGTGAGGAACAAAACTGTTCTTTCATTTCCTTTTTATATACTTTTTACACTGAAGCAAATGAAGCCTACGTTACAAAATATGTGCCGATTGTGACAGTAGAACTCATTCACTTAGAATCAAAGGGGAGAAACTGTCCTGCTCGAATCACTTTGACAGAGTTGTTTGTATCCATTGAGCTTCACAGACTGCCTGTTGCAGAGATTTGAAGGTCTTGTGATAATTCAAGAATCCCATAAACCAGAAGTCAAAATTGTCCATAGTAACTATTTCTATGTACTTGCTCGATGGTTTTTTCACATTTTCACTTTGGCAGACTCTCTGAATTTTTCTCAAAGGAATCACTACCTGCAAAAAAAAAAACCAACGGATTTCACACTCACATATTGCGTAAAATGTAAAAATAAAAAAGGCTTTGAGATGAAATAATTATAATTTTTTTTTTTTTTTGCCTTTTAACCTACCTTGTAATGGACTTTTAGAAACTCTCCTGTTGGAGAAGAGAGTTTGATTGGTCTTTCACTGATGAAGGCAAGCTTGTCAGTAGAGATAAAGAGAAGGCCTGCTATAGGACCAGCTGTTGTTGATAAATAGCATTGCGAAGCCTTGAGAAGCTCCTCTCCTGGTCTAACGCTAAAATTCTGCTTGAACACTTTCTCCACACCACCAACTTGAAGGATTCTTGTTCCCAACTTCAACTTCCCCTTCATTGTTTCAGTTAATTTGGGCCCCAATCTCACTACAGATGTGTCAAGAAACAGAATAAACCAACAACACTAGAATATAATGCATCCGTTATAATGAAATCAATTGAACAACTTCGTTTCCAAGTGTAAGATAAAGCAAAGCAATGGTTACCATGCTCACGGATGCTTTTTGCGATACTGTCCACTTTTTCGCCTAGTTTGTTCATTCTACCCATCACCGAATCCCTTTTACCTGCATTTTCAAACAAACTTCAATTACAAAAGGATTTTTCTTCTTGTTTTTATTTCAAGATTCTAAAATGAATATTCAAAAAACCCTTTCTTCATTCTTTGTACGTGAGTGCAAGGCACAGAGAGAGAGAGAGACTCACTCTTTCCCAATTTTGTAGATGCATACGAAGGACACTGAGCAAGATATTGGCTAGCAGTGTCAAGTAGATATCCTTTTGGTGACCTCCTAGATGTGTATGCTGCTGAGCTTACAGGAACACCAATGACATGACCAGCAATCTGTTTCTCCATTTTTGATGAACTGAAATCTGCTATGAACGATTGCTTCTAAGATGCCTCAAACCTCAGCTTCAACTGAAATCTGCTAGGAACGGTTTCTTCTAAGATGCCTCAAACCTCAGCTTCAACCATTGTATTTATAGGTATATAGTTAGTTGTTCCATCTTTACTTTCGGTTGCACGAGTCATATTTGGCTCATCAGTAGGGTTTTTTTTTGTACTTTGCATCCACTAAGATTTTAAAATTCTTATTTTTCACCCTTAAAAATTAAATTTTCATATTACGTCCTAAGTATATTAAAAATGCTTTAATATGACATTTCTATTAATTTTTGTTAATTTTTCCATCAAAGTGTATGGTTGTGTTAGTTTTTGATAGATAAACTAATAGACATAAATATCACATTTCAACACTTTTGATACATTAAAAATTCAATATGAAAAAAAAAAATTCATATTACACTCTTTGAAGATATAAAATGAGAATTTTGAAATCTTTCGAGCTTAATGTGCAATTCACCCATGAATACAAGAAAGGTTATTGAGATAAGATTGTGCGTTTCCTCAAAAGACTTTTCGATCTTCTTTTTCAATCTTCGTTTCCTTCTTCCANTGTTGGAGAAGAGAGTTTGATTGGTCTTTCACTGATGAAGGCAAGCTTGTCAGTAGAGATAAAGAGAAGGCCTGCTATAGGACCAGCTGTTGTTGATAAATAGCATTGCGAAGCCTTGAGAAGCTCCTCTCCTGGTCTAACGCTAAAATTCTGCTTGAACACTTTCTCCACACCACCAACTTGAAGGATTCTTGTTCCCAACTTCAACTTCCCCTTCATTGTTTCAGTTAATTTGGGCCCCAATCTCACTACAGATGTGTCAAGAAACAGAATAAACCAACAACACTAGAATATAATGCATCCGTTATAATGAAATCAATTGAACAACTTCGTTTCCAAGTGTAAGATAAAGCAAAGCAATGGTTACCATGCTCACGGATGCTTTTTGCGATACTGTCCACTTTTTCGCCTAGTTTGTTCATTCTACCCATCACCGAATCCCTTTTACCTGCATTTTCAAACAAACTTCAATTACAAAAGGATTTTTCTTCTTGTTTTTATTTCAAGATTCTAAAATGAATATTCAAAAAACCCTTTCTTCATTCTTTGTACGTGAGTGCAAGGCACAGAGAGAGAGAGAGACTCACTCTTTCCCAATTTTGTAGATGCATACGAAGGACACTGAGCAAGATATTGGCTAGCAGTGTCAAGTAGATATCCTTTTGGTGACCTCCTAGATGTGTATGCTGCTGAGCTTACAGGAACACCAATGACATGACCAGCAATCTGTTTCTCCATTTTTGATGAACTGAAATCTGCTATGAACGATTGCTTCTAAGATGCCTCAAACCTCAGCTTCAACTGAAATCTGCTAGGAACGGTTTCTTCTAAGATGCCTCAAACCTCAGCTTCAACCATTGTATTTATAGGTATATAGTTAGTTGTTCCATCTTTACTTTCGGTTGCACGAGTCATATTTGGCTCATCAGTAGGGTTTTTTTTTGTACTTTGCATCCACTAAGATTTTAAAATTCTTATTTTTCACCCTTAAAAATTAAATTTTCATATTACGTCCTAAGTATATTAAAAATGCTTTAATATGACATTTCTATTAATTTTTGTTAATTTTTCCATCAAAGTGTATGGTTGTGTTAGTTTTTGATAGATAAACTAATAGACATAAATATCACATTTCAACACTTTTGATACATTAAAAATTCAATATGAAAAAAAAAAATTCATATTACACTCTTTGAAGATATAAAATGAGAATTTTGAAATCTTTCGAGCTTAATGTGCAATTCACCCATGAATACAAGAAAGGTTATTGAGATAAGATTGTGCGTTTCCTCAAAAGACTTTTCGATCTTCTTTTTCAATCTTCGTTTCCTTCTTCCAGTGAATGTCTGACAAGGTTTGGGTCCAAGAGAGTAAAATAAACTGATAGTTGCGTCAGCTATGTAATCATTCAACATCACATTTGCCTTCTTTCTCTTATCCTGACTCTGCTCTAATGTGTCAATGGACCTTTTTGAGCTGGCACATTTGCTTTATGAAGGTGGCTGCTTTCAATCCAAAGGGAAAAACGAAAAGGGAAAGAAAAAAAAATGCATTGTATACCAAAATCTGTCGTGGAACTAACAACAGGATCGACGATATGTCATCCAACAGAAGATTGGATCGGACCACTGTGATAACCCGCAACCAAAATAAAAATAATTAAACCCATGATGAAATCAAATGGAGAGCGTTTAGCCTTTTCATTAGGTAAAGTGTCGGTTATAGCGTGAAATAAAAGTGATTGGTATGGACTAATTAATTATATATAACTCCTTTAATTTCTTTTTGACGGATGGATAATATGTAAGTAAATGGAATGAGAAATTTTAGGGTGACGATCTATTTTATTGCACTAAATGAGGTTGTGCTATACCAAGTGGATGAGTGCATCTAAGTCTTCCAAGTTCGTGTTTCTGGGGTTGATTGTCGGATTATCATTTAACTTTGTAATTCTATATGTTATATTTTAAATTACTTATTGGACCTCCCAGCTCACCCCCATTTCTCCTCTTAGATGCAGTCTAACTTTGGAATAAAAATCAATAGAGGATCAGATTAATTGAAGAATTAGAGAATCTCAATTATTTTGACTAGTTTTGCAATTGTTTGAGTAATTGGTGAATTGAGCAATTGTAATTGATGTGAATATTGAAATAATTTAGTTGTTAAATTTTGAGGTTTTAGCAATTTGTATTGATTCGATTTGATGGAATTTTAGTTCGCATACTAGATCCGATTGGAGATCGGAATTCGAGGCGTGACAACTACCTCATTGAGTCACTAGGGTTCCTTCTTCACAATCACTAAAGATTAAATAGATTGTTTCCTATGTGGACAGTCACTATTGTAAACTTGTAATCTATTAACTTATATCAAGACTCTGATACTGAAACGTTATTTTTGGTATTTTACAAATTATTAGTATATATAAAAGATAGATTACTACAAAATAAGAGTGAAAACACCACAATTTGGCGAGGTTAAAGTAAGATAGAGTTATTTGGGGGCAATTGGGGATTACAATTAAACCATAAGATTTTTTTTCCAGCTTGCAGGAATCCTTGTACTCCAAAATAATTATATCCAAGTGGACAAATTAGATTATTGAACTAAATATGTAAAGGAATGAGGCTCAATGAGGTATATGCCGTGCCATGCACATCATTGCGGGCCATGTATTTGGCCTCCAATTCGTTTGAGCATTGATTAGTATAGAGTAAATTACACTTTATCCTTTGAACTATTATCTTTATTTTACTTTGTACTCTCAATTATAAAAGTTCTCACATTGCTCCTTAAAGTATTAATTTTGTTTCATATTACTCCAATAGAAAACAACAAACTTGAAAATCTATCAAATGAGGGAGAGAAACTCCAAAAACCTTCCCGTCAAGTGCCTAAAACCTCTTTATTTTATCCCTTTTATAACCAAATGGTTGCTAAGAAGGAAAAAAAAAAAGGTTAGACTGAGGAAGAAAATTTCAAGCTTAGGGAAGACAAAGCCATGGATAAGCATTTTTCTTAATTTTGAACTTGCATATGTACAATAGGCAATTATTTATTGACAGTATAAATCACTTACATATACATTTACTGTTAAAAAATTTACAATCGTTATCTATTGGAGTGATATGAAATAAAATTAATACTTTATAGTGTAATGTAAGAAATTTTATAATTGAAGGTACAAAATAAAATAGAGGTAATAATTCAAAGATATAAAGTGTAATTACCCATTAGTATGTTAAAAACTATGAAAGAATACGAGACAGACCAGACTTGAACAAGATTGTGCATGGCATGAGAAGATTATCCTCTACTTTTATCATTCGTGGAAAAGGGAATCTCCACGTCAGTACCAATTCCTCATAGTGACCAAGCATTCTCCACCTGAGCCATTCAAATTCATGAGGAGAATTGGTTGGTAAGCAAAGGCATTGTCCAAAAGTAACTCTAAGCGGATCCAATCAAAATAAAGTTTGGGGGGAAAAGAAGGTCAAATCCAATTTGTACCACGTTGTGGCTTCAGCGTTTTGTGGTTGAAAATTTAACATAGAATAGGTGGCTACGGATTATTTGGAACAAGAATATGGTTGCGTGTCTAAAGTTCAATGAAATATTAAAATGAATATCGTTGCGTGTCTAAAGTACAATAAAATATCAAAATGAAATAATAGAGGCAAAATGAATCGACTCATAATTGATTGAAATTAGTGATATTTGATATGGATTGGGCCAATGATCAAAAGTCATTGTCTAAGTCTAAGCTCATTTAATTTTAGGCCGAATTTTATTGTTTGGATCCTTAAAACCATGTTTTTGCCTATTTTATGACATAATTCAAAAATTATTAATAAATTATAGAAAATTTCAAATTGGAGACCGGTCCCCTATATGGACTTATTTGGAGATAAGTCCATCAAGGAAACTTATTTGATTTTAAGTCCGTTTTTTATCAATTTTACTATTATAACCTTTCATGTAGGAATGTTATAAACAATATTTATGGACACAATAATCAGTCATATACATCTCCTTCATAATCGTCTTCAAATCCGGTTATAATATTTCAAGCCACAATGTTTCCTTATCCAAAAAACAAAAAACGAGTTTTTACCAAAAATCGTTCATATTCAAATTTCAAACTCATTACATTCCAAAAAATACAATTTCAATTTATTATTCCAGTTTACTTTGAACTCTATTGATAAAATATTAATATTGAATATTAATATTTAAAAAAAACAATAGTAACATACTCAACAAATACAGTAATATGGTCACTAAAAAAATAGTAATATGCTCACAAAAAAAAATAGCAATATGATAAAAAAGTAATAACAATTAGATATTTAATTCTGTCAAAGTAGGCAATAACCTTGTAACCAAGATTTAAGAGAACTCATACATTAGTACTAAATTAAAGTGTTATAGATTTCGATTTTGTTGATTTTTTTGTTGCACAAGACAATCGAGTATTCCTTAGTTGTATTACCATGCAAAAATTCATTTTACTGTATGTGAACTATTGTTTTATATTTTGTAAAATTAGATGTGTTACTGAACATAAAATTTTGATGTTATTGTCAATATTAAAGTATACATTACATAATATACGTTTTAAGGTTTGCAATTGTATATTAAAATTCACTATAGTAATATTAGTATCAATATAGTAACACGACTATACTGGTAATACGACCCTAATTGCAACTTCAATCATATAGTAACATGAATGTTACTATATATTAACATTCGTGTTACTGTTATTAAGAAAATTTTGTGATCTGATTTTAACTTAATAGACCAACAATTTATTCATATATTAAACTTCTCATATATAATTATTAGAATATATAACTTTTATATAAAATTTTCGTTAATTATCATAATATTTAATAAACAGTTTATATATATAACTCAATCAAGAGTTTTCATATATACTTCAATTATCTAACCTATGTGACTTTCTATAACTGGACAAAACTAACACCGTCAGGAGTAATTTTGAAATTTAAAAAATAAATGGGCTTAAGTACTTACATATAAGTTTAAACATAGACTTACCCCCAAATAAGTTTCCTTCCAGAACTCAAGTCATTATAAGTCCATTTAGGAAGAGTCACCCTCAATTTTCACTTGAAACTAGTGGTATTTGATTCAGATTGGGTCAATGATCAAAAGCCATCGTTTTAGCCTAAGCCCATTTAGTTTTAGTCCGAATTTCATCGTTTGAATCCTTAAAACCACGTTTTTGCCTTTTTTATGGCATAATTCAGAAATTATTAATAAATTATAGAAAATTTCAAATTCAATATCATAAGGTTTGTTAGACTCAAAGATGACACTTACTTATATGTTGACTAGTTGATGTACAATTGTGATTGCACGTGAACCATTTTTTCATAAGTTATTATTTATAATTATTTGAGTATTAACAAATAATTTTTTTATTCAAAAGTTTAGAAAAGATATGAAATTACAATATTACTCGATAATCAAGAAATAATCCATGTTGCCCCCGCCTTCCTTCTTTTTTTTCCTATTTTTTTATAGGAAGAGTCGTGGAGATTAAATAAAGCTGATAAAATATAATTTTTAATTGTATTGCATAATCAATCATCCATTGTTGGCCATTCGGGTATTGTAAACGACTGATGACATAACCTCTATGTCTTCTAATGCCTTTGAAAAAAATTACTACTTGCTTTGATAATATAATATAAGATAAAAGCTTA